TTAATTTCGGCTTAAAGCGATTTAATGAGGATATAATGTGAGATTTTTGTATAGAAATAAACCCTTTTCTTTCGTTCTTTTATCTGCTTCCATATGTTGTCAAATTTAAAATATCTCATGGCATGAAATAAAAAAAAACGTGTTTATGCTATCAACGGGGGTCCAATATTTTTAATTGTTCTTTTCTTTTCCTTTTTAAACATTACATCATATTTGCCACAATTTTAGATTTTGATAATACTTTGAAATAAAATTTTAGCTCAGCCGTTATTTTTCAAGAAAATCAAATGGAAGAACACTCATAATAATGTATCACTTTAGAGGTTTCTTTCTTTTTTTCTTTTATTATACAAAAACACTGTACAAGTCGGATTTATCACAGTGATAACTGAAGATTGTTGTATGAAATAAAATTTAACTAAGCAAAACAGCGGTGACACAATAACATTTCGATTATGTAGAGATGATAGGTAGAACTAGTCGTCTAAAATATAAATTAATTCTTCTTTTTCTTCTTGTCGGGCTGAGCCAATCCTTGTGACTCCTGGTACTGACGCACAATCTGTTCCTGAACATCTGGAAGGCAGGGGGAGTATCTGGAGTACTCCATAGTAAATTCTCCCTTGCCCTGGGTACTAGATCTGGAAATCGAAAGTGATTGTGAGATACGGATGACAGTTTTTATCGGAGATTGAACTTACCTCAGTTCTCCCGCATAGCCGAACATATCATTCAAAGGAACCTCTGCGTAGACAGTAAACCAGCCCTCGGTTCCCTCAGTTCCGGTGATAATACCATGGCGTTTGCTCAGGTGACCCATTACAGCACCCTGGAATTCCTCGGGCGCAGTCACCTCAACCAGCATAATGGGCTCTAGGATTTGCCAGCTGCCGTTCTGGAAGACCTCTTTGATTGCACCGTGGGCTGCCAACATGAAGGCCAGTTCACTGGAGTCCACGATGTGATGTCCACCGTCTTGCAGGCGGAATCGAATGCCGGATAGCTTGTGGCCGGAGAGCATTCCCTTCTCAGCCATTTCTCTGTAACCTGAGGATAAAACAAGGTGAGTTTAGTTATTATTTATAAGACAACAATTTCAGTTACCCTTTTCGACTCCGGGAATAAATTGTTTTGGTACATTAGTGCCCACTGTTTCGTCCACGAATTCCAGCAGGGTATTTTGATTCGGCGGCAGTGGCTCCATGACTCCAATAATCCTGGCATACTGACCCGATCCTCCGGATTGCTTCTTGTGCAGGTAATCGAACTCACAGGGTCCCACCAAGGTTTCCCTAAATGCCACTTTTGGTTTTCCCAGCGTCACTGGGCAGCCGTATTCCCTCTCCATTCTCTGGGCGTAAATCTCCAGATGCAATTCACCCATTCCCGAAACGAGAGTTTCCTTCACATCGTTGTCAAAAAAGAAGTGGAATGTGGGATCCTCTTTGGTGAACCTGGCAATGGCCTTTGAGAAATTATCCCTGTCCTTGCTATTATTCGGCTTAATTGCCATTGAGACAACGGGTTCGGGTACGAAGATGGATTCCATGGCCAGATTGTTCTTGGGATTGGTGGTAAAGGTGTCTCCAGAGGCGCAATCCACTCCGAACAAAGCAAATATATCGCCGGCGTAGACCTCGTTGACATCCTCCATTTGATTTGAGTGCAGGCGAACCAGGCGGGCAATTCTCACTTTCTTATTGGTGCGGGCATTGAAGATGTTGTCACCCTTCCGGAGAACTCCTTGGTAGCATCTGAGGTAGGTTAGTTGGCCGAAGCGTCCAGCTTCCAGTTTGAAAGCCAATCCCACAAAGGGATCCTTGCCGTCGCGGGCGGGGTTCAAGACAATTTTCTCTGGCTCTTCTCCTTCCCTCTCTATGAAGCCCAGATTCTCCACTTCCCCAGGATTGGGCAGGTATTCCAGTACGGCATCTAACAGGGGCTGGACACCCTTGTTTTTCAGTGCTGTGCCCACCAGAACAGGTGTGAAGGTTCTATTGATGCAGGTTCTCCTCAAGGCAGCCTTGATATCATCTTCCGTGAAGGGTTTTTCCTCGAGGAAAAGTTCCCCAAACTTATCGTCTGCATTGGATAAGTGTTCAATGAGCTCCTGCCTTCTTTCCTGGCTCTCCACCCGCATGTCCTGTGGGATTTCGTCCAGCCTTATCTCCATTCCATGCTCGCCCTCGAAGTATATGGCTCTTTCGCGCACTAAATCGATAATGCCTTTGCAGTTGCTCTCCACGCCAATCGGCAGTTGAATGAAAGCAGCATTGTGGTTCATTTTAGACCTCATTTGGGAGAGAACCCGATAGGGATTCGAGCCCAAACGATCCAGCTTGTTGATGAAGGCCAGGCAGGGGACATTGTATCGCTTCATCTGCCGGTTGACAGTCAGGGTCTGACTCTGCACTCCGCCCACGGCGCACAGAACCAGAACGGCACCATCCAGAACTCGAAGGGCGCGCTCCACTTCCACCGTGAAATCCACGTGACCTGGGGTGTCGATAATATTGATGTTGGTGTCCTTCCACAGGGTATATGTAGCTGCCGATTGGATGGTGATCCCCCGCTGTCGCTCCAGCTCCATGCTATCCATGGTGGCCCCCACGTTATCCTTTCCCCGAACTTCGTGCATTTCCGCAATTCTTCCGGTGTAAAAGAGAATTCTCTCCGTTAACGTCGTCTTGCCACTGTCTATATGCGCCGAGATTCCTATATTCCGAATCTTTTCTATGGGCTTGTGCTCCGAGAACTTGGCATGCGAACTGTAACCGGCCTGAAAAGTTATGGTATATCAATAAGGCTTCCCTTTTTTAAAACAATTACATAACAAGGCAATGGGTTTTCGGCTATTTCTCTGTTACCAACTCACTTTGCCCAAAGTTTCCAGGGCCCGCATGCGCAGGGAGTTGTTCCCGGTCAGCAAACGTGTAATTAGCGACATCCCGGCCTGGTTTTTATTGATAATTACAAGTTTAAATGGGAAGCACGCGGCTAGGGAAAACAAAAACAAGACTGTTATCGTTATCGAGGCGGTGTTTTTCAGAGCCTATCGGAGTGCATCGATAAGTGTGACCATAGCGGGTCCGCTTAAATATACCTTATGTGCAAAGTTTTCAAATTTAAATAATTCTATAAATTACTTTGAGTTGGAGTCGGGCGGTATATAAATATAAATGCTACCCAAAGTCAGCGATAAGCGAGTTTTGGGATCCCTGAATGACTGATTTCATTGAAAAATGTACATTAAACGGCGACATGGGATTGGCACAAACAGCTGATATGCATTTGTTTATTTTTTTCTTGCCGGGAAAGAAACACATTTTTAAATAAATATATGTATATAGAGTGAGTTGGTGGACTTCTTTGCAGTTATTAAAAGATGAAGAAGTGGAGATAATGCAGCTACTCGACGATTTTCTGAGCAGACCCCACTGCCACTAAAAGCCTTAAGAAAAAACCTAAAGACCCATTGCGCCTTAGCATCTGTAAGTAATAAAATTAAACAATCCAAGAGGTGTTATAATTTTACTATTTGAATTACAGAGTGGTTATGTATCCTTTTGTGGGGACGCATTCTACAAGGAGAGTTTTCGCATATAGAGAAGGCTTCTCGACGAAGTAGTGGAGCAGTGGCAAGGCCTCAAAGATAAGAACACCAACCTTATGAACTCCTTTCCTCTGCTTTAATGATGTAGAAGATTTTAAACAGCTTTACTGCACGGGACAACAATGTATTCAACGTTGACTACAGCAAAGATGATTTTCAGATTTATTTACCGAATTTCTTATTGCTATACATGTTTTCCTTAATGGGAACATATTTCTTAATGTCCATGTGGGCTGTCCGGGACGACGTGACGATTCCAAAATATGTGAGGACAACCTTAAAACAACTTCTGGATAATACTAAACTATTTCGAGGAAGTAATCGATGGGACAAAACTATAAATATTCTCTTGGCTTGTGTCCTTCACCATATCTGTAATGAGAAAAACTGTGTTATTTTGGACAGCTGTTTAAGCGTAGTCGATGAAAGCCCACGTCCTCGTCAAAACAGTTTTTAGTATGACTATTTAAATCCACCGGAAAGTATTCGAAAGACATTCCTAATTTACTAAAACATAATTTTTTTTAAAGTTAAGCGCCCCAATATTCCTTTAAATAAATGGTAAATATTATCCTTGAAATCCTAACCTTATATCACATATTTTTCCTAGCCACAACCTTATCAAACAGAATATTTCCCATTCAAAATAATTTAACTTTATTTTATACATTTATTTCAACAATTTCCTTTAGTGTGGATTGTATAAGATTGGTTTTCGAGTTGTCGCTTGATATGTTGTCAGACAATTAATTTGTGCCACAAATCGCACTTGGGGTATACATTTATACGCAAAAGGGACGGTAGGTGGTAAATATATTAGATTATAGACACTCATATTTGATATACAGGTACACAGATATACGCTAAAATGGAGTTAAATCATTGACTCAAACGGATGTTTCTGTTGGTGTAAGATATCCACGCCACAATTGCTTCGACGTATTAAATTTTGGGTTCTGCAATAATGAAATTTAAAATTAATATCTGTGATCTAGGGATAGGTGTACCAATGATATCCTTCTACTGGTTCATCTATTTAAGTACAAATGTAATAGCAAGGGGGATATAATATAGAAAATGCACATACAGACATCAAACACGATGCTAATGGAGCTTGATGGTTTGAATTCAGAAAACAGAGCTTGAAGATGATCCAAAAAAACTGTTGTGGGTTTTGTTTCACTTTTTTTTTAAGAAGATATTCTACAAACTCTGATTCTCAGCTTTTATGAAATTCTGAACTTATGAAAGACAGGCGGTGCTATGCATAAATGTTCAGAGATATAGATTCTGGGAGCAGTAGGTGCCACACTCAAGACTCACGACTATGCACATAATACACTGAAAACGAACGATGCATACCAAAAGTAACGAAATGAAAGATACATTTTTGTTTTTGCAGTTAGCATGTGGCTCATTAATGGTTCGCCACTTTTTATTCAATATTTATAGTTGTCTATATTTTATATATTTTACTTTTTCTTTCGGGTGTGTCGGATGGGATGCGTGTATTTTTGTGTAGAACTTAGTTTGAGGCATAAAATATAATACAATTGTTTACAGCTTTGTCTTGGCTAGGCTAAATGATACGCTTCTTATACAACCCTCCCTCCCCAAGATATACCCATCAGATCACAGTTCGATAAATGAGCCCCATAAAACACACAATTCGCTTTAGCTAACCAAGTCAAAGTGGGGAATATAGTAGAAAAATTGGACAAACACCGGAGATCCGATGGTTTCTGTTTCTGTTTCTGTGGCTTTGGCTTCTTTGCTCCTTCCGCGATGAAATTGACTCTATAAAATTCGTTTCAAAAGTGTATATTTGGAATGCTTTTGTTCTCTACAGAATATCGTAATTTTTTATCATATAAGTAATACTTGTATATCTTGCCCCTGAGCCCCAGATCAAAAGATTTACCCCTCTACTGGCACAGCTAAAAAACGTTACCAAAAAAACGTCCCCTGGGATAACTAACTACTACGATATATAGTAAATAGAGATTATGATACGGCTATGAATGACCAACTAGAGATACATAGATGTTTGTGTTCTTTGTGCTTTGTTCGCTTTAAATCCTTCGACGTTTTCGGTATCTTTAGACGGGTGTTATGTTGGCCGGACTGATCTGGCTGTTGGTCAAGGAGGATCCTTCGAGTTTGGCAGCCGCCTCCTTGCAATTGCTGATCTGCTGTTGCTGTTGTTGATGATGCTGCTGCTGCTGAGTTCCCGTGGGATGCCCCGGACTGTTTGTCGGGGCCTCACTGTACTCATCCGCCTCGTGCATGGGCGAGAGGCGTGGCGAGAGGGCGGCACTCGGGGGGGCACTGCAGAGAGGGGGAGGCACAGGGGGAATGTGTAGACGAGCATGAATGATTTTATAGTCGGTACACTCAATAGATATTTTTCCCGAAATCACCCATATTTAAAAAAAGTTTCTCGGCTTATAATATTACAAATATTACGGTTTCAATTATCTTTTACTCTGCTCTCTTCTTTTTCTTTTTATAAGGGAATACAAAAAAAAACTCAGAAGCAATCTACAGAATTCTTCGTATCAAAATGCTTATCAAGAATGCTTACTGCATTAAAATTGTTTTTGTCAAAATGTGTCACTTTTGTGATATACTGGCGCAGTCAAACTAATAGTATAGGGCAGTTTCTTTGAAAATAATCTTCTAGCATTACGGAAACACAGTTTTGATATTCTGTGGAATTTCTGAAATTCCAATGAAAGGTTTTAAGATTAGAGTAATGCACTATAATATTCCGTTTAAGAGCATGAGTAACACCGTTTCAAGAACCAAATGCTTAAATTGATAACTACGAAATGTTATTATTTTGTTTTGCTAACAATGCCAGTCCCTAAAAGGGTACAAGTCTTAATAATAACTAATTTTTGAATTCTATAAATATTTCTTTAAACTCCAATTTGATGGGCGATTTCTAGATCTATTTATTGTTGAGCGTAGGAAAGGAAAGAGAAATCGCTTATATACAATATGGCGAACAAAAGATCTAGCAGCTCATGAGAAGATTAGTGTGTGATCTGATCTGATCTCTCTTTCTGGACTGATCCCTTTGGAAACACTTACTGGTTGCCATTGATCTGGCGGACTTTGAGGGTGACCGGAATGATCAGTTGCTCCGAGATCCCATTGCCATCCTTGTTTATCTGCTGCCAGACTGTGGTGCGGTTGACAGCCTCCTGGGGAATGTTCAGTGTGGGTCCATTGTTTCCGGGCTTGTTTCCCGATAGGGGAATGTGAATGGTGGTGGGACCCGACTTATCGGCATTGTAGTTGGCCCCGGAACCGGAACTCGGGTGATGCTGATTAATGGTGATGTCCTTCAATATAAATTTGCACAGTTTGCATAGTTTTGGGACCAAAGAAACATCTCTCAGGAAGAGAGCAAAAGATGAGTAGAAAGAGGTATAGCATATCTGTTCTAATGTTGCATAAGTGAAAGGCGAAGTAGAAAGAGCTCGCTAATTAAAAGGGGTGATGTCTAAATCAGTGGTATTGTGTCAAAGCCAATTCGGTGAAGTGTGTATAATTTTAGATTTATGCCAAATTTTTTTATTTTTATTTGTTTAGGTTTTTTTGTGTTTTAATTTTGGATTTTGCCCATGAAATTTTTACATAAATTTTCGCTACATTTACGTGTGGGTTTTGTGTCGCTGGTTAGTTACTGGACCTCTCGACCCGATGACTATAAAATAACATAACAGGTTCCATTTAATACATTAAGGTACTTGTTGTACAGTGTAAACGTTTGACTAATTATGACTTAAGCTAGAATTTCATTTACATTTATAAATATCATATTTGTATATATATAGGGTAAGAGTAGTTTTAGAGTAGGTTCGGATAGGTAACACATTTTTTGCACTACGAAAAGCCACATAATTTCTTTCTTATAGGTTTGGCATTTACAAGTGGTTTAAAAGCGTATTTTAAGCAAAGGATCAAAAAGAAGTTAAACAATTGTATCAAAAAATATCGTATATATAAAAACAAAATGCAAAATTGCTGCATGCCATATTTTTTAAAATTAAAATGTAGGGTAGGGGGAAAACATTTACAAAATACTGTTAAAGACATGATAAAAACGTATATAACAGAGAATAATGCATATTTATATATATGGGTAGATAACTATGGTAGCTGATTAAGATGTATCAAGACCGACAAAATGCAAATTAATCAAGAATCTATTAAAATTTGAGTTTATCGGTATCGAAACCATCGAAGCAAGTATCGCTAATCGTTGGTTTTGTGCGGGGGACTGGGCAGCACTGCAAACGCAAATGAAATGGGCAGCACTGGTCCGTGGGATTTACTTTTGTTTCGGCGTGTACGTGGATGTGGGCGTGTGGGTTTTTTCTTGTCTAAGTGTGCGTGTGTGCTCGGTGGGTGTTCAGTGTCTTCTATTTTTTAAGCAGACTGCTCTGTGCCTCGAACTCCTTCTCATTTGCATTTGAGGTGGAACAGCTGATGAGGACAGCGCCACCGGCACTGCCCGCACCAACAGACCCAGCGACGCCACCATCGAGGCCCGGCGGCTTGGTCACCACCCGGCCACGACTACTTTTTCCCCAGGGGAAGATTCGCGCCAATAAGCCCACCTCAGCGTCCAGTTTGTGGAGGTCATCTGCCGCCGCCCGCTTCGTCATCTCCGGCATTATGTCGTCCAGAATCTTCAGCTCGCGACGAGTGAATACCAGATCCAGGGCCTTTCGTATACCTATCATCACCACCAGCATCAGGGGAAACAGAATCGACGTCTGCGAGAAGGACTTGATCAGCCACAGAATAATAAGACAGGCCAGCTGAATAATGGTGAACAGGTGGACGCGTTTGATGGGAACCTGTAAAATAAGTTATTTAGAATCGTTAGAAGCGGTCTTAAAAGTTTTAAAATTAAAGTAATCAGTTATACATTCATATATATAAATGAAAACCTCTGGCATTCGACTCGTTATATAACTAAGCCTGCATTTTTTATGTACGACTATTAGCTTTTTACTTGGCTATGAGCAATTTGTAGAACGTTGTTGCTAACCAACAAAAGTAATAAAAATCTCGCTCTTTAAAAAACATAAATATATTTAGTTTTGATAAATCTTCTCTGACACACAAAACCTCTGCGTACATATCTATATATTTAAAAATTCTCATTATGTAATCTGATATAATTTAATAAGTTATTTATAAGTTTTCGGAAGGCCTTATTCCTCTGGTATTTGCGAAATCTTAATAATTATTAAGATTATTATAATAAATGTACCTTTTAGAAAGCATACAAAAAAATGTTTTTGTTTAAGTTTGGGAAAGAAAATTATTAATTTCGGATAGCTAACTAAACAATTCGCAGTGATATACATATTTAGTCAGTATTATTTGTTACAATTAATCATAATAATTTTTTAGGAATTTCAAATTGTAAAAAAAAATATGACTAAATTTTAACATCAAAGCTAAATTTGTTGATTAAAACATAAAACTTTCTAATATAAATTTCGTCGCCCTTTGAAATATATTCTAGTCTTGTTTTAATTTTTCTGAGCTAAAGTTCTAAGTTGTGAATAAAATGAGACGAATTCTGATGACATTTTTATTTGGGATAGCCTTACAAAGGACAGTGGCTAGTTTGGAAGTGAGTTAATAGTTTGGTAAGCACAGTACATTAAAATAAATAATATTTATTCTAGGATTCTAGCTGCTCTGATAAATTGAATTTAATTACCGAATTTTTGGATACTCGGCTTAAATCATTTGGTGAAACTTTGAACCTGAGATTGGAGAGCTTTGAAAATCGAATGACACAATCGGAATGCTCAAAGAAATCAACAATTCAAAATGGATGTACCCCATCTAGTGATCATGGGTCCCTAGTGGAAAGTATATTTAACAAATTTATCGATATTACTGTTGCGAGGATGAGTGAAGGGGATTTGGAAAAATACCTACAATACTTGATAGATCTGTATGATTTACAGATAAAGAATGGAAATGTAACCAAAGCGAATATTCCTTTTGATTGGGAAAAGCATGTAAAACACCTGATTACTCAATATAACATAATGGTGAAAAACGGAGATTTAACCGAAAAGAATTTCCGTAAAAGTATAACTGCTTTTGATCCAAAAGATATGAACATGAATAATATAATGAAGAAATTTAAAATTTGGAAAGAGAAGAACAAACTTAATCAGGAAACAATTAAAAATGGAGATTTAACCGAAGAGAATGTCCCTAAAACTACTCTTTTTGATTCAGAAGATTTAAATATGAGTAATATAATGAAGGAATTTAAGATTTGGAAAGAGGAGAACAAACTTAATCAGGAAACAATTAAAAATGGAGATTTAACCGAAAAGAATTTCCCTAAAATTACTGATTTTGATCCAAAAGATTTGAATATGAATAATATGATTAAGAAATTTAAAATTTGGAAAGAGGAAAACAAACTTGATCAGGAAAAAATTAAAAGTGAAACTTCTCCGAACGAAAATTATGACAAAACAGTTAAAAAGGCTTCCACCGATTATATGTGTACTGACAGAACTTCTACACACATTAAAGTTGATGAAAGCGAAAGGGACTTAAAATCTATATACAATGCGATGCAAATCGCGATCAAAGATTATAGATCATGGCAGAATAGTTTAAACAACCGTCACATAACCACTCACGTTAGCAACTAACAATTTCTAACGATACATAAAAAAGTATCTATGTATACGTATTGATTATATTATAAACTAAAAGAAGTTGTCGAGAGGTCGATACAATGGATATGAGTATAAAAATTAAATTTTGAGTATCTTAAATATTTATAATCCTGATTTGATCACAATTATTATTTACTGTACAATAAAAAGAAAAATAAATGTTTTCATTGCCGCTTATTTGAAAATTTACAGTATGAGAGTCAAAATGGAACAGATAAGTATGTGGTGCACAAAATATATATATATTGAATTTTTGGTTTTATTTTTAAATAGTTCATTAGTTCATTATATTAATCTATTGCTGTATTTATCAAATAAAGAGTGTAAATGATTAGCAAAAATAGAGTGGTTTTGAGCCCTTTATTTTTGCGTGGAAAACACAACTTTGTTCCAAGCCAACAATCTTTTAAGTCTCTTAAATGTATGGGTAATGCGAAGAGAACAGTTTTCCTTCTCTTATATATTAAATAATTTTGTGATTTATCACTAGCCTTGAGTCTTAGACTAGGATTTGGGTAAATACACTGTAGAATGATTTATTTTTCTGCCAAACTTTAGTAATTCCTTTGAAGTTGTTCGGGGTCAGAAAAGAGACATCTTTTATCAGTCAAAAGAATAACGCATGTAGGGCTGAATCCGCTCATACATACAAACGAGTTATCTTAATCGAGCGGATGCTGTGGTCTTTGCAAAAAACAAGACAGAGCGCTACAATCGAGTGCCTCGACTATCAGATACCCGTTACTCAGCTAACCTATGAGTTGCGCAATAAAATATTGGATCAAAGAGCTTTTTTTGAAAGAGTTCTATTTGCTGGGTTATTATGTTAATGTTAACTACACACATCTATTGACTGGCTTTTACGTTATGGTTAATTGTTTTACAATATAGGTATTAAAAGGAATAATAAGGAATATTAAAAAAATATTCCAGGCGATTTAGGTATTAGGTATTGATGAACAAAATCAATTTTAATGTACACTGTGCTGAATCAAACTAGCTAGCCTAGCTTTAAAAGTTCCCGAAATTTCAGCGTTCATACGGACAGACGGATGTGTCTAGATCGACTCGGCTTGTGATCCTCATCAGGAATATATATTATTACTTTACAGGGTTGTAAACCCTTCCTTAGACCTGTGACATACATTCCGACGAATGCAATATACCTTTTTACTCAACAAGTAATGGGTATAAAGATTGCTACAAAATTAAAGGGAATTTCTTACAAAAGTGCTCCTCCCTCGGAAACTAATCTCAGTCTTATTTTAATTTTGCTGAGTAAAAGTTGTAAGCTGTGGACAGGATGCGACAAATTCTGGTCATTTTAATATTTGGGATAGCCCTACAAATGAATAATGTTGTTAGTTCACAAGTAAGTTATTAGTTTGTCCAGCACAGTGCATGTCACTGAAATATATTTGTTCTAGGACCCAACCTGCTCTGATGAATTCAAAAGAATAACCGAGTTTCTGGAGAGACAGCTTCAATCATTTGGCGTAGCCTTGAACGAGAGATTGACGAGTTTTGAAAACCGACTAACACAATCGGAATGTACAAAGAAATCAACTATATACGATGAAGGATCCCAGAATTTTAATTATGGCTACCGTGTGAGGAGTATAATCGATGACTTATTCGAGATTTACGATGCGAGAATGAGGGAAAGGGAGAGTATTTCAGATACCAATAATGAACAAAATGAGCGCCTAGAATTGAAAAGGACCACGGAAAATCAAAAAAGTATACAAAATCGAGTAAGAGATACTTGGGACGACATTCACATACTCGGCGAAATTTCTGGGATTGAAAATACAGTTGATTCTGTATTCAGGATTACCGAAAATATAAATAATAATGCGAAGGGAACTGAAGAAAGTACTACAGAGAACACATCTAGTACTGACAGCTCTTCTAGTGACAGTACTAAAGTGGTCTGGATTCCTTTAGAGCAATATATAGCTTTGAAAAACAGAGTTATGATGGAAAATAATGAAGAAAGTACTACGACTGACAAGTTTTCAACTGACAGTACTACTGAAACGGCCTGGATTCCTAAACAAATGAATATGGATGTCTTAATAGAGCAATTTTTAGCTTGGAAAAACAGAACTAATAAGGAAAATATTGAGGAAAGAACTTCGGAAAATATTTTCACTGGAGATGAATTTACTGACAGTACCTTTTCTGAAAGAATTTCTCACAACGGCGAAGTGGAATCAAAAGAAGATGTGTTGATTACTACTACTGAAATGGCCTCGATACCTAAAAAAATGAATATGGATGTCATGATAGAGACATTTTTGGCTTGGAAAAACAGTACTAAAGAGCAATTTAATGAAAAATCCACTTTGATGGTAAATAATGAGGAAAGTACTTCAAAAGATATTTCCACTGAAGATACTGACAGTACTTTTTCGGACGGAATTTCTCACAACGGCGAATTGGAACCAAAAGAAGATGTGTTGACTTATATTTTAAATAAATATTATAGCTTGAAAAAGGATGGCCTTATTAAAAGCGAGACAACTAAAACTGGATCTGTAAAAGCTTCGCTGAACAGCGTAATGGAAAGCTATAAAAACTGGAAGGAATCAGAAAACCGAACGTAAAATAAAAAAGGTTTAAGCATGCATAAAATATATAACCTATGAAAATATAGTAAACAGATAAAAAAAGTCAACCTGTTTTGTCGGAAGCGGAATATCGAAAAATATTTATTTAATATATTATAATCCTTATAATACTGCAAATTTATGGTTCGTGCATAGAATATAAAAATAAGCAAATAAATAATAATTTTGTTTGAATGTTAAAAAAGTTATGTTAATCACTTATTTAAATTAAAGAGTAAAGGCTTACAATGAGTGCGCTCTTTAAATATTGATATATGCGAAGCTTTGATAAAAGAGAAGCTTAAAAAGGGTTCCTTAGTTGTCGGGCACTACGTGCTAATCAGTTCCGCCGGATGTGGCTTTTTTCCAGAGAAACTGCATGGCTTCATACACAACTTTAAAATTTCACGTATAAAGTTATTCACTCTTGGAAATACATTTCAGTCTTATTTTAATTGCGCTGGGTGAGAGTTCATAGCTGTCGACAAACATGCGAAAAGTCCTGATATTTTTTCTACTCGGGGTAGCCTTACAAAGGACCACAGTCGTTAGTGCCCAAGTGAGTTAACAGTTGGTTCAGTACAGTGCATGGCAGTTAAATATATTTGTTCTAGGACTCGACCTGCTCTGATGAGTTTAAACGAATAACCGGATTTCTGGAGACACAGCTTCAATCATTTGGTGAAACTTTGAACAATAGATTGTCGAGTTTTGAAAATCGACTGACTCAATCGGAATGCTCTAGGAAATCAACGATTCACAATGGACGTTACCCGACTTTTGACTATGGCTCCCGTGTGAAGAGTATTTTCAATGACTTTATCGAGATCTACGATGCCATGATGGGGGAAAGGAAAGGCGAGAAAGGTGAGAATTCGGAAAGGATCACGGAAAATCCAAAGAGTATACAGAATCGACTAAAGGAAACCTTGGAGGACCTTCGCAAGCTCGATCGGATTTCGGCGACTGAAAGCACTACTGTGCCTTTTGATTGGGAAAAGAATTTAAAACTGAATATTTCTGAACTGATTACATATTATGATAATATGGTTAAGGGTGTTAATCCCCACTCTGGAAGTTCTTTGGATAGCCAAGTCTATACAAGCGAAGAGTTGGATAAACTCGTACAATACATGGAAGAGCAATATGACAAGATGTTGGAAGATGAAAAAAAAGCTGAACAGGAAATAACAAGCACTGAGGGTTCAACTGCTCCTGAAAGTACTACTGATAGCAATAATAATATTGCATATGAATCGGTATTGTCTCCTGATTTTAATGTAACTGCCCTGATTGAGCAATTTAAAATTTGGAGTGAGGAGAACAAAATGAAACAGAAACTTATGGATAAAGAATTTAAGGGAAATAATGAGGAAACTACTACTGAAAATACTTCTACGGAAGATACTTCTACTGATGTTTCTCCAGATTACAGCGAGAAGTCTACAAAGTCCGTCGAAACAAGTGAATGGGTGTTAATAGAAAGGGTTTAAGAAGGTTTTTTATAGGAAAGGAGCGAAATTTGAGGAGAATATATTAATGAAATTCCTTGACTAGACTCTAATCCCATAGTTGTGAAAAGCTCACAACAAAATGTGAAGTAATAAAACTTACTTCTTAAATATTTTATTAGTCTCATATAATACTGCATTAAATGTATGTAAGTCGCGTTTCTAATAAAGTAAACTTTAATCAACGCTGCTTAAGGAGCATGAAATTCAACATTCTTTTAAAAATATTTTAGGGGCCTTGAAATGGTAACTCACCTGGCGCAGGAACATATAGTCCGGCTGGTACTTGGCCGGCATGAACATGATAAGTATGCGATCGAAGAACTGCAGACCCTTGAGCGAGGCCACGCCCATATAAAGAAAGACGCCGAACAGTACTGGCATGGGAATGTGACGGAGCAGCGGGGTTAGCAGCACGGAGCCGCCGATGGTCAGGAAGATCAAAATGTGGGTCACCCGCTGCTCGCGCACTCCCAGGAACTGTGGCTTCTCGCCAGGGGCCGAGCACTCCGATTCCAGTTTCAGCGAGTTCACGTGGTTGATGCTCAGTACGGTGGCAGCCACGAACCTGAAGATGGGAATATATGTTATAATTTAATTTTTTGTTTAAGAACCGCTTTAAAAATGCTTAGTTCTTGTAAAATTATTTCATGTTTTTATTATTACCAGAAAAACCCTCCTTAAAAATAATAAGACTCAAAACTCACCAAGGTAGACCCATTACGCTGCAAATGGCGATCAGAATCGAGAGGATGAACAGATCCAGATGGTAGCCACAGCCCTTCTTCAGTTTGTTCTCTTTGCGATTCACAATTACGGCCGTGATCTGTTGGTCCATGAAGATTAGGATGGTTCCGAGCAGGGCGGGAAAGACGGCAATTATCGGCGACCACCAGGGGTTCTTCTCGGAGAATGGCGGAATGAGCCAGCCCCTGGTACTAAGCGTTGGCTTCAACTCGTTGGGAACCTCCAGTTTCTGGGTGGGCACACCCAGCGAATAGTCGAAGAAACTCATGGCGAAAATAGCGATCAGCACGGAGAAATCGCTAATGTACTGGCGAACGATCGAGGGGAAGAAAAGGGCGTTCTTGAACTCCTTCAAAACGGTGGAAATGAGGAAGGTGCCGGCGCAGAGAACCACCGACATAAGGAATACGTTTTCGGTGGGCGGGCTGCCGCAGTCACCACCAACCAAGGTGCCATTGTAGGACTGGAAAATTAAAAAATTTTAATAATAATTAATTTTATAGATTTTTTTAAGACATCACCTACCTCACAATAGTCCCAATTGTATTTGGCATACTCGATAACACTGGCATTGCTCCCGATTGGCGGTGTACAGACACAGTCGTATATCCCCTGATTGACCGGAAAGTTCTTACCGATAACCATCACATTCTCAATGGCCTTGTAGATAAAGATGAACGCGATCAGGGTGGCAAAATTTTCCTCGGTGAAACGGGTGATGTAGCAGACGAGGGCACTGGCATCAATCGCGGTCAGGACGATACAAATGCCGGCAACCCACATGCCGATCCAGAACCGGAAGGTCATATATTCCCAGCCCATCTTCAGACAGAACTCGTAGATAATTGACTCGAAGACCAGGACTGGACCGGTGGACCCGAGAATTGTCAGCGGCTGACCCGAAAAGAAACCATAGCCCATGCCACAAACGAACCCGGACACCAGGGACTCCATCGCAGCCATGTGCTTGCCAGTGGCCTCCGCCAGAAGACCGCCGAACGTAATGATCGGGGACAGGCAGGCGAAGTACAGGAAGATCCAGGAGGCCACACACTGCATGGACAGGGAGTCCTTGTAGTCGCTAAGGTACCAGGGTGCCTTCCTCTTGATGTCGTTAATGAGGCCTCCGAAGAGTCGCCCCGTCCGGGACAGACCGTTCTCCTCCCTCAGGCGCGCCTCCTCCTCCTCCTCGTCCACCTCCTCCTTGGGCAACTCTGGGGGACGCTTGCGCACCTCCTGGGAGGGAATGGCCGCCGGTGGCTCAATCCGAATGGTGGGATCCCATTCGCCCGGCGGCAGCACGGTTACCGCATCAAGGAACTCGTCCACGCCGGATAGCAGGTGATCCCGCTTGCGGGCTCGGTACGCTACCTCGTGGAAGATCTCGTCGGACATCAGGGTGGCCATTGCACGGCCGATCTCGTGGAAGTTGCTCTGACTGCCGGGCGGACCAAGCAGGATGAAGACGAATCTGTAAGAAAGTGGAGGCTATTAGTATCAGGGATTTATGGATACTATATGTTAAAGTATTATAGAGTTTATTTTAACTTTTGATATGAAATGTTCTCTCAGTCTAACAGCTAACATTAAGTACAAGATAATAATTAATCAAATTGTATATCTTTATAACAATCGTAAAGTCATTAATAACATGTCATTTATTTCATTGCAAGTTATAAATTACTGTCGAAATTTATTTTGTGGAAAATTTCAGTTCACACTGGAAGTTTATGATCATAATAAGCTTTTTTTGCTGTGGGTAATAAACAGATAATTCCATTAGGTGCCTAAGTTACTCAAATATTTGATGGGTTGATTAAAGTTAGATTTTACTTTATCAAAAAAGGTCTGTGTATATTATTTATATACATTTATATAAAATATTTAGTTCCGGAAACAAACAGATAAAATAAGAGCCATGTAGAAAACTTGTAAGAGTGTTATGTAAAATTGTATGATACATAAAGAGTTAGAAATTATTGACAGGTTTAGAATAATAGATTACATAAAAAATAAAAATTAATATACTTTAAATCTGATTAATTTTCAAAAACGCAAATTTTAAAAAATCTATTAACAAGATTACCATTTGATAAATTGTCTACAATTCGAAGTTTAACATAATAATGTGTTTTTATATGACCTTAAAAATCGGAATCCGATTGCTGTTTTAACCAACCTACGGCCGAAAGTCACTCCTTTTCTTGATTGTCAATCCAGAAAACCTACCTTGTGGGTACGGGCACCTCAGTGAGATCGCCCAGGACCACCGCCTGACTCAGGCGGATGAAGCAGGATAGAGTTCGCTCCAGGAAGTCCACCTCGCCCACGAGGATGTTGCTGGCCTCGGCGCCCGGTGGGATCTTTCTCATGAAGTGGGTGTTGCCCTTGTGCTGCTGCTCGCTGAGCTCGGATCCACTTCCTGGCCGTGCCATTGACTGGTTGCTCGGGCTCTTGACCATGTCCTCTGTGATCGACGGCAGGTTTTGTGCGGGCCGCGAGTGTTTAGAATTAGATTTTTTCTCTGCATTAGTCGCGATTTTTTTTTTCATTCGGGTCACGGGGTGCAGGTTTTGGTGTTGTGTTTGCATTATTCAAGTTATTTTTGGGATACGTGCGTTGATAGGTATTACAATAATAATAATAACAACAACAACATGTAGGTCAACACGTTACAACGGAACAACATAAAAAACATACGAAAAAAGAAGTGCAAAAGAGAGATATTTGATTAAATTCGGATTCGTCTAAGAAGGCTGGAAAAGATTTCAGATTGAGTTCAGATACAGATAATGAAGCATGCAAAATATATTGGAAAATAGTTAGTTCTGAAAGTATGTATGTTAGGTGGTGATAAGCGTGCAATTGTGTGTGAATTCTTTTGATCTAGATTTTCTCTTCAGAACCATTTCCTGATTTTCCAATTCTGCTCGATATAACCTTCATGCAAATTTCGCCACTTCGTATGCCACTTTTTTCATCCAATTTTATATACAAAACTGCGTACTACCAAGGATATATTCAATGTATATTTCAGGGCAATTTAAACAATTAACAGTCACGCAAAATTAAACGGTAAACGATAAACGATAACGAAAACGGTCAGTTCTTGAGTTTGTTGGATATGGTTTCTTCAAGTGGGGTTCTTTACCGAGCGTTCTGTTGCTGGGTTTTCCACTGGGCACCGTTAGGAAGCGACCCATGCCGCTGGCAGCGGTGCTAAGACTTGGGTTTCCATTGGTTCCGGGCGGTCCCGGTTCGCTGGCCGTTAGGGAAATCGGAGTTGTGGCCCCCAATGTGTTGCCAGAGTGCTCTTCAACTGGAAAATGTTTGTGTTTTTTTGGGTTATAATTAGGTTGAGATTCTCTAAGTATCTCGAGCTGGTCTGGTTCATCTACACTGCTTTCGTAGAGGATCTAAATATTTTGTTTTCTTACGTTATGCCTCTTATAAAAATTATCATTGAGAGGTTCCCAAGCATAAGGATTTGAAAATAATACATTTCTGACCACCTATCGATATATCCCGTTCTTAGGGATTATAAATCAAAGTATTGACCAAGTATATAAAGAAATACTAAATGTAAATTAAAATTATTTTAAAAGAGGGTGTTGTTTATTGGATTAAACAATTCTTTCTTGGATTCAGAGAATAGAACAACGTATAAATAAAATTGTGTTCGAAGGAACGGGGCATATAATCGATAGAGTATTATAAAGAAGTAAGTAGAGTTAGAGAATAAAGTTAGGGCGAGGATAGATACGAAACATAATATATATTTCATGTGGTTGATCTTAATATGTTGGGTAAGTTCCATTGGTTAAATATATAGTTCAACGGTTTAAATCGTGTAGATAGACAGCACAACAAATGGGGTATATCATCATAGAAAGGGACTAACGAGCTCTTAAATATTATAGTTGGTTATACAGTGAGTAGATTAATAAGTTCAAGGAGTAGAGAAAATAGAAGAGTCAATGACAAGAGATAATCATCGAAAAACACAGCGTGCTCTTAATAGGTACAGCAAAGTACAGTAAAAACCATTGATGAGGTATTACTTGGCATGGTTTGAGATTGCGGTTGTCCTTGATTTTGGGCCTGATGTTGGGGTGATGCCCCGGCATGGAACCATGTGGTGACCCCAATGGCCCCCAGGTGGGTTGAAGTGTCAGCTTATTGGGTGAACGACAAAGGCTAAGTTATTTCTTGATTCTTGAGAGACTACCCCATTTTATTAGCAATGTGTATGAGTGATTAATGAATGATCACGATTTCTGGGTGGTAAGAGGGCACTCTAAAGGAAGATTCCTCTTCAGGGAATAATATTAGAAGTCATTGGAGCAGCTTAAGTGTTTAAAGGTCAAATTAAATTATATGCCTTAGGATTTTGTTTATTGCGGTTTCTTACAATTCTGTGATCTAGATTTTTCAATAAGGGGTGCAGGTTTCCAGGAGGGGAGATTCAAATCTCCGCATTATAACTTTAGCTCTTAGCTCTTACTTTTGATTGGCTAGTTTCTGGGTGCTTTTTTGTTAGGTGCAAGGCAACTGAAAATACGGCTTTTGTTTTCAGTATACAGAGATTGCATAGGGTAGAGAGTGGTGATGGGATTCGCTTTCTAGTTCTAAGGCTATACCTGTGGGAACAGCGAGATAACAACCACGCTGATCCTTACTCGACACATAGAGGGGTGTCTGGGAATTTCCAGTCAGATCCAGGCCACCTGCCGAGCCATGCAGTGAGTGCAGTGGAGTGCTCTTGCCCAGGTCTGAGTTATTAGTATTAGTTCGGATCGGATGAGAGTTTTAGACACTTTTTGACAGAATGATCCTAAATGAGGTGATCTGAGTGGTGGGCAGTTAAACTCGCAGATGGATCACAGATGCACACCAAACGAACGAGATGAGCTTCGAGTAAACCTATGTGATGGTCGTGAAAACCCCATACTCACTTTTCGATGACGAATGATTGCGCATATCGGCCAGGGATCGTATAATCGGCAGTCGCGTCTTTTTGGCATACTCGTGCTGATGACGATGACGTCGCAGGAGGGCATCCTTGACCTTGTCCTTGACCCCGGTCGGCAGGGTTCCCGCGCTGACCATGTGGTCGCAGACCAGATCGGCCATCACCTCCAGATTGTGGGCCTCCATGTCCAGCATAACGCTTCCGTTGACCAGCAGGCGACGCAGCTCGAACAGGGAGTGAAGGGAGAGGGTGGCCACGTGGGGCTTCGACCACCGATTGCCACCCTCCTCCACATCCTCCTCGAATTTGATCCATCGAGCCGTCTCCTTCCACTCGATCTCGTCGCCCTCCTTCACCAGCATCCCCATTTCGGAAAACAGGGGATGGGATACATGTGTGCCGTCGTCCACATCTTCGCCGAGTATGAACTGAACGCGCTGGGCCGGGGGAGTCACTATAATTTCAAGGATACAGTATCAGAAAAGTGTGGTCTATACATTGGTCACTTTTATTTCAAGCAGTAATAGCTCGTAAATCAAATTAGAATATATAAAAAACTACTTAACTAAAAAATCCTTATAATTAAAATTTTGATAAATAAATAAAAGACTTGCTTTTATAGAAAAATTATATACTCATAAATTTGAAAAAAATATACAAATAATAAAATTTTAGGTAATAAAATATTAAATCGTATACTTAAATAAAGAATGATCTCAAATTTTAAAATGTGCCGTATTTTACTTGCATTATTATAAATTATTTAATTCCAAATAATAATATATAATAAATAAAACTGCAGTAACCAAATATTAAATCTTGTTCTTAAATAAAGAATCAATATCTCCCTTTTTTCAGGTGCAGTATTTTTCTCCTGTGCAAAACTTCATTAGCCTAAGCAGCATTTATGACTTGGTAGCAACATCTTCCTTCCATTTCCACCCCATTTATAACAATCATGTGTATCGCATCCTTGGATTCTGGAGAACGCGTACTAAAATTAATTGCCATAATAATTTGGCCCTGATCTGTGCTGGGAATTGGCCACTGCCCATTGCCATCCATATGTCCGCCTTAGCCCCATTTGAGTTTGTTTGTGCTTTATGTTTGAATTGCGTGTTATTGCTTATGAAGTTAAAGCAGGCTTTAGGTGCTAGCAAATTATACATTTTGGTAAAAGGACAGAAAATATTAAGATTAATGTTGACAGGTAAATGAGGAGGGTAACGTTTAGATTGGTGTGTTTTGAGCTGGGAAACAAGTATACACTTTATTTACTTTTACCTGAATAAATTAACTTAAATAAGTATTAAATTAAACAGGAAAGTAAAAACAATATAAAAGATAATATAAAAAAACAAATGAGATGATAATAAATCAAACAGATAGGTCAGGTGAGGTATGCAATTAAGCTTAGTGGGGGTTGTTGGGATAGGTTGCGAAAGATTATGGGAAAGCAGTAAGTCGAGTTCTTTAGCGTATAATATTAAAGGTAAACGCACGAATTAATGGGATGGTTTGCTAATTTATGTTAGTTTTAATGATGGGTTGACTTATATTGTTAAAAGTTAGTTTTGCAGAAAAGTATACCTATACCTAAGTTACGGGGAAAGTTTAAGTAGGTGCCCTCCCTTCCGCATTCTCTATACTTTTGTCTGTAGGTAACTCCATTATCCTAATTCAATGTCAACCATTAGCCTGCTATTTCGCATTACAATCAAAACTTCTTGTTGACGGCAAACTGTAAGCCAATCATCCGTCATTTTCCCCCTGATGAGTGAGCTATCTCAGACAGGGACACTGTAATTTTGTGAAATTTTCCCCCACTTCGGTGTTCCTGTAATTTGCCACAATTCTCGGCCTGGCCGAAACTGATTGGCCACATTTACTGGCTATTCTTTGGGGGCACCCACATTGCAATTATATCTGCCCAAGAAACACGAGGCTGCAATAAAGCGAGGGACACCTGGACGCACCTGGTCGCTCCACTTCCTGTTGCTTCTCGCTGACGTTGTCCTTGCCCGCACCACCGCCCACACTTCCGGATCCGCCGAGGGAGCCACCACCACCCACACTGCCCCCCGTGCCACCCCCTCCGGGGCCGCTGTGGTGGTGCTTGCGCCGGCGCTGCGAGTGGCGTCGTCCTCCTGGCACATGGACGCCCACATAAACGGTGTGGGCCCGATGTCCTGCAGGAAAAATGCGGGTAAAATGTCAGAAGGAGCCAGTTGGTGTGGGAGCAAAGGGGGCCGGGGAAAATGGTCCAAATTGAGTGCGACGTTGTTTATTAATTGCAATTGTGTTACATAATTCTATTAGCTTAAAATGCTTCATTTTCGTTGTCATTTGTTTTCTTTATTGCGGCATTGGGGGTACTTCTGAAATCTCTAGCGCCCTTTGTGCGTTCTATTTCATTTCGAATTTATTTTTATTGTACATGATGTTCGAAAGTCTTTAGCAATTCACATAAGTAAGCAATGGCAAAATAGTCACATTTAAATTTTATAAAATGAACGTTCCAATTTAGCTCCTTTTTTAATAAGGATTTTAGTTGTGAGCTGTTTTATTTTATTTTACCATTGCTTCTAGAATTTTAAGAAGGAATAATTTATTTAAAAAAAATGTCTTCCAAGTAAAAAAATTTAATAGAACAAAATATTAATATATTTTTAAAATTTGAGAATTAATGAAAGTACAATTTGTTAGTCAAAAATGTACTATTAATTCTATGAAAAAAAAATCACTTAAAAATGTTTAATTTGTATCAATGATCTTTAATCTCAATAATATACTACGATTTTTTTAAACCCTAAGCTTTTAGAAACACACTCAAATGTATTATTTCGAAACGTATTTCCATCAATTTCAATGGTAATCAGCACTTTATAGTTCACTCTACACTGTGTGTATTGTAGCGATAAGACTCGTGTATAACTCTTGCCTGCCATTGGCATATAATTCTTGTCTTCACAAGGCCACCGAGTGTTACGTATACGCAACGTTGAATCATCTATGAATCAAAACCCATCTTAGATTCAGTACCGTTTTAATCAAATTCCCTGCTGTGTATGTTGTCTTTTTAGTGACAACAGATAAATTTATGTTAATTAGTATTTCCCTGAATTTGATGGCCGCTTTAGAGCAATTTCCCAGTTTTAATTTTCAAAGCCTTTGTTCAACTTGCGCTCAGTCAGTTGACTAATTGTGATATCATCTGCTATGTACTTGCATCAGTAGTTTTTCATAAATTTAAATTAATTATACAGAGCACATCTTCTAGCTGAATTTTTTTCCCACTTTTCGCCAAGTCACGCGAATAGCTCTTATATGCATTAAAGTTGTGGGCGTTGTTGTTCAGCGACACAAAACAAATAGCTGTTAAATGCATTTTTCATTATACAGTACGAAGTATACTATTTGGAAATGTTATTTTGTATATTAAAAATACATTAATTAAGCATGAGAATGGTATATTCAGTGAGGTAAAGCAGATGAAAGACCAAGACCGGAAGCGATGTAAGATTATTATTTTATTTCTTAAATGCACAGATTAACTAATTTTTATGACCCTCATATTTAATAAGAATTTCCAGTTAAAGCTAGTTTTCCTGCAATAAATTTGAGTTCCATTAAGAATTTGTAGTCCATCTTGGCATTAGTTTTGGTTGCGTGTCAAAAATTGTCAACCTGCAATTAACACGACGCAAATTTCTTGTTTGTCTACCGACTTGTCACTTGGCTGGTTTTACAAGTCAGCTTTAATTTTGGCACATGCGTGGACCCAATAGTTTTTATTCAGGTTTTACTTATCAGTATTCAGTGAGCAATTAAAAAATGGCTTTAAAAGATGAAGTGGAACTCTACTCACCCTCGAAATCATTTTCTGTAAATTGTTGCGTAAAATCCTCGCCGCCAGTGCGCGGATCCTTTGGCGCCTCATCATCGCCGCTTGAGGAGTTCATGGTCCAAGGTCTGAAAAGAATAAGAAAAGGGAAATTTAATATATATATTTTCAACATAATTAAGCGAAATTATCGTCCATCTCATACTTATAGAATGGTGTTTAATAACACTATATTAAGGTGCATTCTAATAGGGCTGGGAATAAGCTTCTTATCGGTAATTGGGGTCTCTGTTACGGTTGCCTCACCTAAGGCAGCCTTAGTTCCAATTTTAACTCAGACTTGAGCTGCATATTAAAATGCGTTGTCAATCACCTAATTGAAATGCGCTTTTGCTATATAAACAAACACTCACACAAGCCGCTCATTTAACTGATCGACAAATCGACATAAATTAAGTAAATTGTGGGGGCCGAAAATGGTGAAGATGGTATACTCTATTTTCCGAAAGTTTGTTTAGATTTTTTTTAGTATTCTATTTATATATATATATATTTTAAATATATATTTAGCATATATATAAATATTTGGGAAATATTTAATCCACAGGAAAGAAGTAACTAATAAGGTTATATATAAATGAGATTTCTAAATATTGAAATATGATTTATCATTATTCTTAAAGATTTTATTAAAGGCCTAAAAAATTTAAAAAGTAGCTTAAATCCTTTTAAATAGGGTAAAAAAAACGAAATGCTGACAATATGCCAATGATTTCACATCGAGTGTCATTTAAGTACTCATTGCTCAGTTGCCGTGACTCTTATAGTCACTTGTCATATTCATAGAAAAATTGTCATTAGCAGTCCGAGAATTTTTAGCAGCACTTCCCCGTTGATAAATTATTCGTCTGCTGATGAGTTTTCATTTCAGTCAAATTTGAATTTTTATGGTCTTTAAACAGTGAGTTGATTTCACTTTTAATATATTTTCCGTTGCACACCATTGGATGGTTTTTTAATACACGTGCTTCAGTTTGTTAATTGCCAATTGAATATGGGAATATTTACGAGCATTTGGCCAATATTTATTGCAAGTGAATTCATTATTATTATTCTCTATTTGCATTTAGATTTAGTTTTCATTTTAGCTTTTTAATGGAATTGCTCTTTAATATCTGCTACGTGTCCGATAAGAGGGGGGATATCTTAATGTGATCTAATCTTGGGCGTGGGTTTAATTTTAAATTCGGACAAGTTTAAGTAAACTTGAATTATAAACTTTATTTTGCAATCCCAGACTTCCATTAGTCACAGGTAATCTCTTTGGGAATGTGGTGATGATAAAATATAAGATTTATGGCCTTTAGGAGTTGACATTTATTTTAATGTTTCAAAATTACAGGGACATTAAAATATTTAAACACAGTCCTAACCCAACATTAAGTATATATAGATGCCCGCAAACTATTTATAAATTGCTCTGCTAAAATTTAACTTGAACATATAGAATATATTTTAAATTTCTTTCCTCCAGAGAAACAAAGAAATTTCTTTTTTGATTGCACAAACCGGGTAATTTTAGTTATTTCCAAGATCAGGCGGTATTATAATGGAAAAATTTGCATTGCATAAAGGTTTATTTCTATATAGCCTATCATCTAGAGTCGCCGACGCTGCGCGTTGCCTTATCAGCCAGTGAAATGTATAATCTATATGGTACTTTAATATATAGACAAGACATGACTGACAGTCGGAGAGACGGACACTCCAGCCTGTCTGCCAATTGCCGGTCTAAACTGGGTCTAGCCAGGGTTTACTAATTATAGTACATCCCTCAACCTTCCCGACTTCGTGGGTTTTGAGCGCTTTATCAGCACCTGAGTCACAACAACAAACATTAATTTGGGGTCCGATATTAACTTAATAGCCAATGTTGTATACTGTGTCAACAAGACAACGAATTGCTAGACAATTTGCACTTGGCTTTGTTTAATTAAGCGGTCGTTTGGCGTTAAAGCAAAGAAACAAGGTGGGTTGGGTCCAGAACCGAAAATTCTCGCAGACCTGATGGCTTATCTGGTTGATATAGCAGTTTCAGTTGTTTATTTCTTTAATAAATTTATTTTTGAAGTACTGTGGCCTGAGAGCGTAGATTATTAATAGTTATAGTCTTGCAGAAAGAAGGTGGATAACGATATACTAGTCCAAAATATTTTAATATCAATTGTTTTTTTATCTCTTGTAATGTATAAGTACAATTTTCATTTCAATTCATACCAAAATGATTAATTTCATTCGTCTTATCATTTGGTTGACTTTAAATTTATCCCGAGTTCATGGTAATTATTTAGCTTTTAGTGATTTATTTTGAGTTCAGAAAATTAATGGTTGGTCTTAAAAAGGTTTAAGATTTATATATTTAAATATAAATTAACTACGTTTTAATTTCGACTTTTTTGAAGATTTCAAAGTAACCGACGATCACAAACATTTTTTTTTGATATAATTTATTGTTTTATTTTTTCCGGACTTTCTCCCCTTTGTCTTCGATTGCCCTTGGGAAAGGAAGATAAACCCACAACAATAACAGTTTTCCGAGTTGAATCGAAACCCTAGTGATAAGCCCAGCTGAAAAGTGCGACTTAAACCTTGGACCCCGTTATCTCCTGTGGTATTTTTTCCTGCGACACTTTTGAGCAAACATTAATGATGATTCACACTGGCTACTTACAATTCTATGTACTCATTATTTTTGGCCATCACCTTATCGCCGAAAATAGCGATCGAAAAACTGGAACTTTTTTTTCCTGTTTGTACAAAAAGTTCACACGCGCACCCCGCGATAATCAGCCGAAAAGTGTATTATGCGATAGGTGCCGAATATTGGGGACACAATAAACAGCGAACGAGTGGTTCCGTTTTATTATTTGATTTTAATCTGTTCGGATCTCGGGATCGTTGGGGTTTTGGATGTTCTATACCTATGCGAGTGTTTTGAAAACGCGGCACGACGACTCGACTGCGAGTCCCGGCGATTGCAGACTAACTAACTTTGCCGATCTTTAAACTGAAGCAGCTGCGCTCGCTTAACCCTCTGCCGCCGATTCTGCCGGCGTCGCTGTTGAGAATCGAATCCAAAAAAAACACCGAGAGAGATAGAGAGACACTTGTGGAGCGGGTGGGAGAACTTTACAAAATGTGTTTTTAAACGCCAATTTTGCCTACTTAGCTTTATCGATAGTTTCGCCGCTAAATGGGGCTTCCTTATCGCCGGGGTCTGTTATCAAAGGGGCAGAAAAAATCGGTTTACTTAACCGAAAGTGCATTTTAATGGTGCGTTACAAGATCTGATAGCCTATGGGTATATTGACAGATCCGGTTAGAACCGCTGGTCACCAATGCCATATGGATTGCGGTGTTTTGGCAAGCGTTTGAACGGCATTAACTCAAATCAACAAGTGTTCCCCCGTCTTTATAATATTTTGAAATGCTTCGCTTTTGTTTTGTCGCCTACTGAATGTCCACAAACATTTATTATCAAAACACATTTTTTTTGTCTGCATGTGTGAGTGTGATACGTTGGTATTTTTTATGATATTTATACTTTTTTATGGTTTGCTTTAGCTTTTCTCGATGACGAAAATATGTAAACAACAACAGAAATACATAAAATTGGTTTGAGCCCTTGAAAAAATATGTGGGACACTGGGTGTCAAACAAAACAAAATATTTCATTGTGAGCAAATAGTAGGAAGTAGTTGGAATTTTTTGAAAGGCAGTCAGGTCAGTTTTCTATACACCCACATTAATAGCTTCATTTTCTGTTATTACTGTGGCTTTTCTAAAAATAAATATTTTATTTTAATAGATGGGCACATGAAAGATAATGTTTAATTCCGATTTAAAGTTGTATTCAATTTTATTTATAAACTTTGTTATTATTATTGGTATACAAGTTGATGTTTCATTTTGCAAGTAGCTTTAAATGAATGCTGTATACAACTTTATAATATGGTCTGAAATAACCCTATCAAAGTTTATTATTATTTTCCAATTTTTGCTAATATTTTTTTATAGCAGATAATATTTGGTTCCTAATTAATTTTATTGAAGAGCGAAAGCTCCTTTAAAAAATGGTTTGAAGTGTGCCCAATAATTAATTTTTTTTATAGATAAGCATGAGTTTTTATAAAATGTTTAACTTTATATTTTTTATTTTAAAGTGTACAATTGGTTATCAAACATTTATGTTTTGTTTTGGATGCGGAGACACACCTCCACATTTAATTCTCCGAAATTTAGAATTAGGTATTCAAATTTATGCAGTTTTCGAGCAAACTGAATGGTTTAAGACAAAGCACCGGATCAAAACAAATCTCAAAAATGACTCAGAAAATAACCAAATGATATTAAGACGTCTTGCGTGCCAGTAAAACTAGAAATAATTTTAATTCAATTTGCAGTGACTTGCTGTGGATGCGGCGTTGTTGTTGACTTGTTTGTTGGTAGTGGAATTGTGGTAACAACTGCGATGCAAGGCGAATCGTACCGGTTAGAACCGGTAGGAAGCAAACGGTTCAGGTTCAGGTTTCGTTGGATGCCAAAGTAGAATGAGATGGGGCGATACTGGGAGAGAGATATTTCCGATAAAGGGGACTTTTTAAATATTTTTTTTGCTTAAGTTTGATATAATCTTCTGTGAATCAAAAACCTACGCCTGTCAAAACCAGTGGCACAAAAAACAAAACACACATCCCGAATAATTATTTTGGTTTTTGTTAGCCCGATTGTTAAGATCGGAATGCAAGTTCTGCCGAATCGAGTTGACGCAAACTGAGTCTGGCCGATTCGATTCGGATTTCATTGTTAATAAATCTATTTTCCAGTCTTAGCCACAATTAATAACAATTAGCGCGATAGCTTAACTTAACTTTGAATGAATCAAAAATCGAGTTTACGTCGGTTCCATTGACAAGGCCAAGATTCTCATAAACCAGCTAAGATCAGCTTGAAATCAGATCAGTATTTCTATCAAAATCACGATTTCTTCGATCTCTGTTATTTTGACGTCAATTTCGGGGACACGTTTCCATCTTATCTTGTTTTTCTGGCTGCACTTGAAAAAACCCGAATTAATCATCGTCATTTAAACGTCATGGGCAGGATTGGTCTTATTTTTCAGGGTTCATTCTTATCGCGAACCACTCGAACCACCCTGACAACTAAATTGTTTAATAAAGGTAACTCTCGTTGATAAGTTCCGATTCTTATCGACAATGAAGCCAGCCATCACGTCACTTTAACCACTTCAAAACCGATTCAAGAGGGGTTCCGTTCCAGTTTTAATTGGCAAAACACCTTATCGTCCAGTTAAGATTCATGTCATATATAAATAATATATGGTCGAGTGTTATTTACTCGATTGGTTTATGATCAGGCGAATTTTTGTTGACACCTTTCCGCCTAGATTTTTATGATTATTCAAATTTGTACGATTTTAAGTATCGTTCGCTTAAAAACAACTTAAATTTAACACGTTTTATATGCTTACTGTTGAAGCCAAATGTTTGCTTTTAAATTAGCGTGGTTTATGGAGTCATATAAACTTTATTATATATATTTCGAACTAGTAAAAGTTTTAAAGGTTGGTATGGGAAGAAAGGAAAGGAAAGAACGGTTTATTTGCAGTTTAAAAAAAGAGAACATTTTTCGTTTAAATAAAAGTACCAATTTTCCAGTAAGGATTTGGTATTTAATTAAATTTTATCTATTAACTCTGTTTTTGAATTGCTTAGCATATTTGGTTTGAAAATTGCATTATTAAAAGCCACAATATCTTCATATTTATGTCTGGCCCGAATTCTTTTCATATTTTTTTGTCCACATTTTTGACTCCATCACCCTTAAACTTCTGTGAGCTCATTCTCTAACCCCAAAAACCACGCCAACAATTCAAGGTCATTTAAGTTATAAATTCCTTCTGGAGAAAATATCTCACAGTTGGCTTTAGCCATATAACCTATTCCTACATATCGTAGTGTCATAGACGCTTTTAGTGCCGTATCTTATTTTACTACCCCTCCAATTAGAGCAAAGAATAGGGTTCTCAGATGGCCATGGGTCGTGTGAAAATGCTTGGGCCTTAGTTGGCTGTTCGTTCTGATGTCATTCTTGGCCATTTGACTCCGCTTTTATTGTCTTCCGGGAACAAGTTGGAAATGTGGAAAAAGATGACTGCAAAGTGAGATATTGCAGTCAGCTTTTTGTATATTATGAAACTAAATACACAAGGAAAATAAAAGGTTTTGAGATGAGATAAGTGTTTGAATAAATAAATATACCTATTAAAAAATAAAATATTCGTAATAAAATAATTATTTAAATTGAGTTTCGTTATGAAACTTTAAGTTGACTGATATCGATGAACAGTTCGTATTTATATGACCTTATACAGCGTACAATTTTGTGTAATTAGACCTTTTTGTATCACAAAATACTTCTTAAATATCCCATTAATAGTATAGTTATGAAGAAAGCTTAATGATAAAGTGAAGCTGACCCTTGAAAAACTTTTATCTCACTGTGGTTAAAACGATTTTCGCCAAACAAATACGAGCTGTGATATTTGCCAAAGAAATTTGCAATTAGTTGGGAAATTGTTAAACGCTGCAAAAAGGGGGCGGGGCACAGGTGCGATTTGGGACCTGAGGCAACATGGCGTGTGCCATTTTGAAAGACATCCGCTGCATGCGGAAGTGACACACATAACATGAGGAGGGGTTTTGGGGTTGGGTGGGAAAAAGGGTTCGCAGGGTGTGGGAAATTGGGGCTGCGGGAAATGGGATCAATGTCCCCCAATGGAGCGAGAATGAGGCAAGCAAAACAGAGAATCCTGAGCGGGAAATGCCAGAGAGAGAGAACCCAAGAGAGTCGCAACTCCTCATATTCTCTTCCCGATTCTCACCGCCCACTTTCTCCACTTCTCTTTGTTCTTTGTTGTATGTATATTGTTTGCTTATCGAACGCCTCCCTCGCTTATCACAACAGACAAAGAAAGAACACAAGCACCACAAACCAAAACCCACTGAGAGGGGAGTGTCTCCTACATATATGCCCCCTTGCTCTTTTTCATCATCCCCCCTTTAATTCCCGGTTCCACCCACCCCAGTCTTTGCACTTGACATGTTGTTGACCCAGTCTCTAAAAAAGACAGACAAGTCATCATCAACAAACCGCAACAAACAGAATAGAAAGTATCTATATCAGTCAGATATCAAAGTTCTTCAGCCTTTTGCTGTGTGACTTTTGACAAGTTAAATAAACCATTTTTCTATCAGGTTATACAGGAAGAAGTAAATAAGTTTTTATTAACAGACAACATTTAATTTGAGTTACTGTGCTAACTGCAAACTATAAAAATTAATAGATAGACAAAACTATTCTGTCTCATAGATTACCCAGATTTCGTGAGTTACTGTAGACTGTATCAACGATAAAAACAAATCTATTTACCGTTTACATATTTAGATAGTGGATTCTATCTATAGTTCTGAGATGTGCGTGTAGGCAGATTATATACGGAATGGAAATTGCTTGTAGGTTGGAATTGAGATGCGGCAGTACCGTTCTCTATTGTCACTTAATTGGGGGCAGTAATACTGTCTTTAAGTTGATTTTCTTAGCGATTACAATCTTTACAGATCTTTATTAGTGCTTGTATTGTGATTTTATTTGTGATAGCTCTATTGTGGGCTTCGCTTTTATGGTACTTTGTCTATAAATAGCAACCTTTTACAATAATATATGGAAAAATAAAAGATTTTAATCTTAAGCTATATGTACGAACAGGGTTTTATGAGGAAATCAATTATCATGCTTTTTTAAATTATACCATTTTTAAGTAAGTCTATCTATAAACTCTTTTGCTCTTATCCATGTTCAGTCAGTTTTGGCTGGCTTTACTACACATGGCAACCATTAACAAAGGTCTTTGTTCCTTTGTTAGATCGCATTCATACGCCCTGTTGGCCACCAACCCCTTGAATATTTATTCAATTTCCCTCGCATTAAGCTCCTCTTGGTGGACCATTGAAAAGCAGAATGTGCCTCCCATTTACCTGCTGCTATCAGTGGCTATCACTCTGGGCAATCGGCCATGTCCGTGGATGTGTTTCAGCTGCGCCTGCTGTGGCATCCTGGATCCTTGATTTCAATTTCGGTCTCCTCTCTGGTAACTACACCCGAAAATCCTGATAAAGTGCTTTGTTTTTATTTTTATTTTCGTGGCATGGGGTTGGAAAAACAAAAACAAATTTAGACGGCACTGCGTGATGGGGTTAATGACACCGAGAATCAAAACAACAACCGAAACGATGGGGGATTTACCGAAATCCTTTGACTTGATTATTGAAAACTGAGAACCAGGCAGCACTCGGGATATGTATAGATTTTCAGGAATGTATTTTGGTATATTTAAATTCTAGGGAATACTTTTCCGGAATTTTTAGTTAGAGATATCCGCTGCCGTTTGAGTCGCGCGGCAGACTAATCCGGCCGGCTGGTGTTCGAGAAGTTGAGAGCTCTGCTCGCGAGGTTTTCCCGCTGCATCTTCGGACTTTCCACTCTCTCGGTGTTTTCCTCTCTAAATCTCTCTTTTCGCTGCACTTTCTGGCCAAAGAGACCACTCTCTTTCGGCCCTATTCTCTTCTGCTCCGAACTGCAGCTTAACACGCTTGCATTTGCGGCTTTTCTTGTTATTATCTCATTATGAGCATAGGATGTTTGATGATGGCGAGTTAAGACTGAAAGCCAGAATGCTGCGGTGGGTTGGAAAATCCTGGTATGGGGCAGGAACTTGGTCATGTCAATTTAATTTTGTGGAAATTCACTCTCGACCCAACTGAATCAAGTTAATGTGTAAATGTTTTCTATTGACAGCAGGAAGGAAACACTACTGAAGAGTGCGGATTTATTTTTTTGGCTTGTGACCGAATGCAATTCAATTAAATCTGAACGATGCGTGTCCCTCACGGAATGACAGGTTGATAATGAATTCAATTAACTGAATGTCAAGGTTTATTTACTGTGCTTTTAAAAGGTTTTGAATGGGGGTGAGGCATTTTAAAATGTATTTGAAAGAGAAATTCGGATGAATCAGATTAAAAAGCGCTTTACAAAAAAGATGAATATCACTTTTTTTTATTAACTTAGTAGTTGATAACTTCAAAATCGATTACGGCAATAAAACAATTTTATAGTTTAATAAATCTGTTTAAATGTTAATAGGAAAATGAATTCAATTAACTGAATGTCAAGGTTTATTTACTGTGCTTTTAAAAGGTTTTGGATGGGGGAGGCATTTTAAAATGTATTTCAAGGAGAAATTCGGATGAACCAAATTAAAAAGCGCTTTACAAAAAAAATGGAAATCCCGTTTTTTATTAACTTAGTAGTTGGTAACATCTAAATCGATTACGACATGCAATAAAACACTTTTATAGTTTAATAAATCTGTTTAAATGTTAATAGGAAAATCCAATAATCATCACATTTAGGAGGGCACACGAGTTCCTGCTTTCGAAAGGTATTAACGAAAGAATCATAAATATTACGAACACCTACATATATTGGGTGGGCAAGAAAGTCATGTCGTTTTTTTTAGTAATCGTTTTTAATCTAATTTATTTACGACTAATCGAGCACCAGGGTCACACTTTTTAGTATCGTTTTAAAGCTTATTGTCTTAGGTACTATCGACGAAAATTTGGTAATTATTCGATAACATTTGTGGAAGCTATAGCAAATTAAACATGGAGGACCAAAGTGAGCATTTTCGGCATATTTTGCTTTTTTACTTCCGAAAAGGAAAAAAAGCGGTCGAAGCTCGCGAAAAATTGTGCGAAGTGTATGGTAAAGATGCCATGAGTGATCGCCAATCTCAGCGCTGGTTTGCCAAATTCAGGCTTGGAGATTTTGGAGTTAAAGACGCCCCACGTTCTGGTCGACCATCGGCCGTTTTTGACGAACAAATTCAGGCTTTGCTGGATGAAAACCGGCGCTATTCAACGCGGGAGATGTCAGAGAAGCTCAGTGTGTCGCATACAACGGTTGAAAACCATTTGAAGAAACTTGGCTACGTAAGCAAGCCCGATGTTTGGGTTCCGCATAACTTAAAGGAAATTCACCTAACTAAGCGTATCAACATCTGCTATTCTCTGCTGCAACGGATTAAAAACGATCCTTTTTTGAAGCGGATCATTACTGGCGACGAAAAGTGGGTTGTTTACAATAATGTCCAACGAAAAAGATCATGGAGCAAGAAAGATGAGCCAGCCCAAGCCACATCAAAGGCCGATATCCATCAGAGGAAAGTTATGCTGTCTGTTTGGTGGAATTGGAAGGGTGTAGTGCACTTTGAGCTGCTGGGACGGAATGAAACCATCAATTCAGATGTGTACTGTCGCCAGCTATCCAATTTGGCGGAAAAAATTAAAGAAAAGGAGCCGGCACTAGCTAATCGCAAGGGTATAGTCTTTCACCATGACAACGCTAGGCCCCACACATCTTTGGTCACTCGGCAAAAATTAACGGAGCTGAATTGGGAAGTGCTACCACATCCACCTTATAGTCCGGACTTAGCACCTTCAGATTACCATTTGTTTCGCTCTCTTCAAAACTCTTTGAATGGTAAAAACTTTGATTCAGATGAGGCTGTCGAAAACCACTTGTCTCGATTCTTTGCTGGAAAAGACCAAAAGTTCTTCGAGCGCGGAATTATGCAGCTGCCCGAGAGATGGTCATTAGTGGTCGAACAAAACGGCCAATACATAATTGATTAATTATAAGTCCTGATATAAATAAATCATCTTTGAAAATATTGAAAAAAAACGACATGACTTTCTTGCCAACCCAATATGTTGTTAAATTTGGGTTCAATTTAATTTTTACTGCTTCGTAATATAAAACTGAGTCATTCCCTGAAACCTGATTTATTTAAGGCAAACAGATATTTAAGGCAAACAGATAATACAAAATGTAAATTTAAGATGTTGTCACTTATAAATGGTTTGCTGATTCAAGTGTTAAATGATACCCTTTTAGACTCGCCTTTTAGAATTTATGAAGCGGTTAAAAAACCCTTTTATCATTTGAGCCTACATTTGTCCTATCCCCTTTTTTTCACAGCTCGGCATCCTTTTATTCCAAACATAGGTCCTCATTTTGGTGGAAATTCTCCCACGTCTAACGGGTATGGAAAACCGTAACTGTTTGGTAACCAAACACGTGTACTTTGCTTATGTGAGGAAAATGACGTGAAAGCGGAAAATGAGATACAGGGGGAAGAGCAGACTCGTGTCAAGTGTAAATGAAATTTCCAATTTTGCCGTGTGGGCAAAAATCAGCAAAATGTTGCTGTTGCTGTTGTCGGTATTGATTTTTTGTTTCCCCGCTTGTGTGGTTAAATAGTGTCATACGAGGAGAGGAGGCTTTTAAACGGGGCTCGTGGGGAGCATGTTGTGGGTAAGGTCGCGATAAAAGCGTGTCAAAAAGTATGCACACCGACGAGCTTGAAACTTGGTCAGGATGCCTGTTTAAACATATACCAAACAATTTGTTTGCTGCAAATTTACGTCCTTGGCGAAACTATAAGTTTTTGTTCGTTATATTTCAAAAATTTAAAACTGCAACTTTTCCTAAACTACTAAATACTAGGTGGGTTTCAGTTGTGAAGCCTGAGGGTTTCTCACAGATATTAACAGAGATTCGCACGCACACCGCTCTCGAGCAACAGGGGGCCATTAAAACATACTCTTGCTAAATATAGCCAAGGACTTGTTTCCTTTCACAAGAGATCATTTAGCTGGGTGAATGCAGGCCAATGAAGTATGCATGTATGCATCTCCATCGGTGATTGCTTTTTATGGCCTTTTCCAACACTGCTTATTTTGTCATCCGCCCCAAGTTCATTTTATTGCAACTGTACACATTGATTGAGTTTCAATGAGGAGAGCAGGTGGCCTAAAAGAGAAATGCAAATATAACTTCGTTCGACATGCTCGAAAATCCTCTGTGACATATGGCAATTCAATTGAATCTTATTTACATATTCATGTCAGCAGGCAAATAAATGTAAATTTCATCGGCATATGGCGAAATGAAGTACAGTTGTGTTCTTTTTTATCTCAGGAAGAAAACTGAACATGGGTGGGAGGACCATCTATAATTAAATCAGTTTTTCTTATCTGTTAATTTTGTAGTTCAATGTTATTCTAGTATTAATTAACTTTTATTTCACGTATGTGACATATTAAAAAGGCTGTTTTCTAAAAACAACAAACAAGTAATTCAATTGGGCTGATTATCCTATTTGACCACGACTTGTGGCCCAAAAAGTTATGGACATTTTCATGATTTCGTTTGGAAAAATTTCTTGCCTAACGAGTTCTAGTTACGAAAGTACATCGTCAAGTTGATCCGACATTTCAGTACATTAGCTCATGTGAAAACATGTGCATGGTTAGTCCATCATGCCAATAAAAACAAGAAATCAAAAGACGCCTTCTGTTTAGGTATACCGAAATGGTTTACTTCTTCTCTATCCCCATACATTTTAGTGAACATGAAACTTCTGTACCTTTCCTCCTTATCTCCTTGGGATTTCCATATCCATTTGCCATCAGCAGGATGTACTTAAGGACACGCGCTGTCACTTGACATACCTGTCCCGCGTGTAATTATACTCATTCCTGAGCTCAGTTTTTTGCCGGGTATTCAGTATCCATTGCCATCCGAGAACCACGTTCTCTTGCTAATTATAAGACTGGTGTTCGTTGGTTTAAGGTGGCTTATATCTTAAATGAATTGGATTAGCTGCCAGCATCTTGTGGGTCTCGTTTTCTAATCGATTCCCGCGAAGGTTGCCTTATCGAAATGCCAAGATATAGAAAGGAACGAACTTGATGTAGGTACGGTACAGGCCCTGAATACATTCATCGATTATGTGACAACATTTGGGGCTTTTATTTAACAACAATGTTCTCTGGGCTTTCCTTTGCCCTTCGATTCCCTTTGTTTGTAATCTATTGAACATTCCGCGCTATTTTCTGTTGTATTTGCCATTATGTAAAATAGCTGGAGAATCGCCAGACAGGTGGGGATATAGAAAGAGGCCCAGCTAATGGTCATTAGCTTACATGTTTGGTTTGCCAGTCGGTGGCGATTCTACTTTGGCTGTGACTTGTTTGCTTAGTTGGCCGGCAAAAGTAGTTAAACGAAAGTCTATATAATATTGGAGGGGTGTGCTTGAACAATCCGAGGTTGGCATAGTGGCTAATTTAATGGCTTTCGATTGCCTGAAATAACCACTGTGACACCTGCGAAGTTGCTTAATTGTTTTTTTTTTCGCCTCGAAAAGTGAGGTGTTTTTTATTTGTTGATCAATATTTGAAGATAGCGTTGCTGTGGAATAGATCAATCATTTCTATTCGGGGAAACGCTACTTTTATTTGTTCTAACACAGGTTTTCGACATTTGAGAAAGCT